CGAATCGAACCCCGAATCGTCGCCCGCTTGATGCACCGACCGAGGTTGACACCACCGCCGCATCGCTGCAGTGTCTTCGCACGGATTAACACGCTGCTCGAAGGGAAGAACGTTTGACGCACTCGTCGATTTGGGGATCGCACGAAAGCTTTCTTCACGCATTGTGAGTTCCGTATTTTGTGGTTCGATAATGCTCTGTTAATGAGATGTTGATTCGCCCTCTTCTTGTTTTTCTTTGTTAGCTTTTTCGTTTCCGTTCTGGCTCTAACGCGAATCGTTCAACGGCTAGAACCATTGTCATTTGTGTGATGCCTTGAAATTTCACCCGCACTTAATTATTTGAAAGAATATAAATTTACTGCGCATTTTCACGCTGAGACTCATGCTACATGCTATCTAACGCACACACACACCATTATAGATTACGCTGCTTTGCTGTTGCGCTGATGACCTCGGGGTCGCTGGTTCGATTCCTACGTCTATGGTAGCTGTATATTCATTGGGGTGAAATGCAATAACAACCATGAACTTTCATTCAGGTACACGTTAAGGAATCTGATTGTAGAAATCATTCCGAAGACCTTTCGCTATGGCGTAACACGTCTTTTTCTTTTTTGTGCATAAAAACTCGGCAGTAATCTTACGCTCACCTGGGAAAATGCGTGCCTTTGCAATAGCATTTATCACAGATAATATTGTGATTCAATTTTGCTTTCTGACGCGGTCATGTGGGCCTGTCTAATATTTTCTTAACCTCCTTTCTTCTTGGTTTCCTACACTTTTTTTTCATTGATGTTTACAAATACCTGGCACGTGCTGGACAGTTATGGCCACTCTGCAGCATTCTTCCCCTTTCATATTTTTTTATATTTTTTTCTGGCAACCCGTACCGCGGTTTTGGTGTGTTCTCGAAAACAACTCCGAAATAGCCGAAGCCACACTTCCGCGTATTTACCCCCACTCTTGACGCGCGATGTGAAACGTCAGGGATGCGGCCGCACTCGTTATCAACGCGACTACGAGTACCTTTCTCACGCAATTTCACTTCTCGAAATGACTTCGTGGGTATCTGCCATTCGCAATAGTTTACTATCGACCAAACAAAGTTTGCGGATCACGCGAGCACCTGCCAAGCGGCCTGTCCGCGCCATCTACCGTCGACCACAGTGCTGGGGCGGCAACGACTCTTGTTTTTATTCACTGGCCTTTCATTTTTTTTTTTACCGCTGCGTAGTATATTGCTAATTCTCAGTTCTCGTGCGAAGCGCTCACCTGCAGTATGACAGTCGCATTTCTATTTTCATAGCAGTATCAACGCCATCAAGGCGCGCCTGGAACGGCGTTCCGTTGGTTATGTATCACTTTGTGATAAAGATTGTGACTGATAACAGTTGGGCTCATAAACTGCTCTCGAGGCAGAAGCACGAGGTCGCAGATGCGAAAAAGTGTGTCGTGTTAAAAGAAAATCGCAGCCTATCGACATATCCACGGAGTGAAAGACGATGAGTGGGGGAAGCGTCCGCCAGTCCGTCTACGCTTTCATCCGTCTGAGCGTCCGTCCGTGCTTCAAACAGACAGACAGACGACGGACGCGGCCAGCGGATGATTCACGGTTTGCCAATAGAACCATCCGAAGCTTCGCCCCACTCATCATCATTCACTCAGTGGATATGCTGTGAGGTAGTTACTACATACATGCACGCATACAGGTGGCGACTGACCCTCGCCTTAAAGAACTTCACTCCTAAAAGTGAAGGCTGAGGTGCATTTCTACCAAGTCAGAAAACACAGGCCATAGATGAAGGGAGGGATGCATCTCGGGTGCGGCGATCCTGTCGATTGCCGCTGACGTAGCGGAATTGTCGCGAAGAGGCTTTTGGCTAAGCGCTCGCGTGGTTCGTAAACTTTTTTGGTCGACTGTACGTTGGTGTAAATACGTCGTTGCACTGTTCTTCAAGCTGCGCCTCAATATGTATAAATTTTCCGTACAATATGCAAGCGATCAGAAGGATGCACTACTATTTGACGTGTCTTGCGACACCCACCTGCAAAGAAGAAAAAAAAAAAAAAACATTTGAACGATCGAAAAGGTTGAAGATTGCAAGAACTAGTACGTCAATATTCGGTGGTCGAGTTGATCGCGACGAAATGGCAACACTGACGTTGAGCAAGTCTTGGCACGTCAGCCGCTTATTAAATATGTACTAAACATTATAACATTAAGGTTCACATGTGGTGGTAGCCTTTCAAAGCCCCGTTTCCATTTGTGGGCGCTTTACGAGAGATGAAAGGTCTATTATTGCCCGATAACGTGATAGCCCATCGCGATCATTGTACCGCCAAGTTTTGAACTTGTCGCCCATACATCAATGGTGTTATATCAGTGTGTTGCCACACATTCGACGTTTCGTCTGTTCTTCGGCTATGTCTGAAAAGTTGTTCATGGTTACCGTACGTGTATATTCCAGACCAATGTATAGTTTAATCGTGATCTGCGTGTATAAAAGCTTAACTAGATCCAAGTATTGTACAAGTATGTGTGGGTTGTCCGCCGTAGTGCCTTAATGCTAAGCACAAGAGCGGTTCACTGACAAAGGCGACCATGTTTCACTGGGAGCCGAAACACAGCAACACCGTTGTGCTTTGAAAAAGGTGCCCATTGAGGAACCTCAGCTGGTCATTTCTAGTCCGCAATCCCCGGATACGGCGTGGCTCACCACCGTAACGTAGTTCTGGAACTTAAAACCCGAAAATTTACCTTTCCTTCTTGCGAATGGCAATGACGTCATGGAAACGCTTAGTATACAGTCGCACGTAAGTGCTGTCCAGATGAGTGACGTCTGAGCAAACCTGGGTGATATCTGCGTGGCGGCGTCGCTTTGACGTCCAAACGGCGTGATGCCTAGAATACGTCGGAGATGCGCTCCACTTGCTTTGCGTTTACACGCATTCTTGGAGGCTAAAAATATACGCTCTGGTTATAGCTGTTACAGCAGCGAGGCAGAACTCCTATGCACGGTCCGAGCTTCAAGAATGATGATGATTATGATGATGATAATTATAAAACGTTCTAGGGAAGTATCATAAAGAAGGAGCATGGTTAGTCGTACAATTGAAAGCCCTTTGACCCGCAGTAGTATCTTTCACCTACGAACCACTGCCGCCAATGGGTCGGCAGTGTCAGAACCGAACGTCAGTACCTTGGCAAAAATGTTGAACGCTTTAAAGCGGTTACGAGTTATGGCTTGTTAGCTGAAAGAGCGTCGCCTTAAGGAACGGTATGCCTCTTGGACTCGTGAGTGCACCCAATCGAACCACTTTCTTGTTATCGGCTGTCGTCCGCAAATTTTCGGTAAACTTCTTCGCAGTTTTGAGGAAGTTAACAACACATTCTGACGCCGAAGCCTTCGGGCATCCGCATGTTTAGATATCTTTTTTTTTCGTCGCAGGAAATGCCGGGCGATCATTGGCGCACTTGTACAGCTTTCGTACAATGCGCAAATGCTGTCTTCACGTTTTGTTTCATAAGAAGCTCCGTGCTGCGCTGATTAATTGTTAATATTTACCTCTGTAACCGTATTACTTATTTATGCAAATACCTTAGGCATCTGAGTAGGCATTACATAGGACAGTTATAATAAAATAAAACTGTTACAAGTGCAGCATACATATTCAACAACAAATAAAACGTTTGATACAAATATATATAAAATATACACGTACTGTAATACGCACATGCATACATATGTAGACATAGCATTATTAGCGGCCGGGCCATTACATAACATAGCGCTAATGCAACGAGGATGAAAGAAAAATACTACTTAAAAAGAAAAAAAAGAAAGAACAGGGAATACAAATTGAAGGAAAAGTTTGGCAATGCTCAAATAACAAAAAAGGATACAATTAAAATAATTCAACTTGATTGATATACACTGTGCAAAGAACAAGGAAAAGATATGCACATGAACGTTAATAGCGTTCACAAAAATTTTTAAAGAATATTTATAAAATTTTCATGATTTAGAGAAGAAACGATGTGGTAAAGTAGCTTGTTCTAATAATATATTGCGAGAAAAATGGGGATTAAGAAGTTTGTCCAAGCAAAAAACGGGTTGCATTCTGAAAGGGCGATCAAGGCGCGGAAAGCTATTATGGGCTGACCTGACGTGGCAGGCGGTGAACAAAGATGAGTGATAAAGTTTCTGAAAATGATATAGAAGTGAGATGGGGTTTCTTCTATTTTCTAGTGAGCTTAGATTCATAGATCCATTTAGGTTAGTTATGCTATATGTTCGTGAATAATCTTTGGTGATGAGGGCGTTAGCTTTATTTTGAATTGCCTTGAGTTTTTTTTTTCTTTTTTTAGGTAAGACGGGTGCATGTTCCAAATAAATACATACACGCGAAATAATATCGTATAGGCTATTATTTAGTATAGACTTGTTTGCAAAGTAAAGGAAGGAAGAAAGGAAGACAGCAACAAAAGGGAGAAGGCAGCTGGCAGCTAGGGAGGTTAACCAGAAAGACATCCGGTTGGCTACCCTACACTGTGGGATTAGGGAAGGGGACAAAAAATATGAGAAAGAGGGAAGAGAAGGAAAAGAATTGCCAAGTAAAGGTTTACGCCAGAAGAAGCCAAGTGTTTTGCATGCGCTACTATACAGTTAGCTTCGTCATGATCATCCCATGAAACGTTAAGATAATTGAGCTCCCAAGTATCGAAGCCTAACATACACTATGGCATTTGCAGCTCTAAAGAAGGATCGCGTTCATGCTGGCGAAACTATTTCGCGAAACTGTGGCAGACTGTTAAATACCGTAAGACAGACCTTAAGGGCATACGTGAAACGCTACTTCCACCGAAGAAGGTACACAGTGCGTGTGAAGTGTTTTTGTCTTCTGTGTACTGGTCCTGCGCGAAGGTTATGCCCTTTAGTTGATGTCATTTGGAGAAACCGGACAGCGTAACGTAAATTACTTCTTCTTCTTCCTCTCAGGTGAGCCAATGAGCGCGACAACACAGGCAGGCATCGGGCTGTCGTCGCCGCGCTGACAGCGGAGCGAAGTCCATGGGCAACCCCGATGAGGCGTCGGCGTCGTCGGCGAGCAGCCCCGCGGTGGGCGTTCCGACGACCGAGCCGTCGCCCCTGCGGCCCGAAGTGTTTCACATCTCCGGCACGAGGCTGTCGTCCGAACCGGCCGCCGGAGCCCTGCAGCTGCCGTCCACTCCGCCGCCCAACGCCCAGAGGCAGGCTTCGCTCGAGAACGGCTCCCTGGCCACCGAGAGCTCGTTCGTCACCGACCGCAGCGACTCGACCAGGTACACCGGTGTGACTGCATCGTGGGTGAACTATTGGAAGAAATAAAACAGCCTTGCCCGAAGAAAAGCAAACATATATTGACGTTCCGGGGCCACTACGGCGGGTGCCTTGTTCACAGACAAGGGACGCGAAGATTGTGAACAAGGTTGGGAACACGGGACCCGCAGAGGCCCCGAACGTCAATATATGTTTTTTTTTGCACAAGCTGAGTGCCTGTACTATTTTTTCCAATGAACTCCCCTCGCCTAACGAGTTCATTGCCGATTGTTGGACTATTGAGTGAACTATGTGTTATGTGACTGGGCTGTGTTGTGTTCCGTGAACACGAGATAATGCTTATGGCTTGACTTACTTACGTGAACTCTCACTAGGCGCTCTTTTGTGTAATTTTTTAATCACTGATATTTTCACTTATGCTATCGTCTGTGAAAATGATTATAAAAAATCACTAATGGGAGGCTTTCTGACTGGATGACCAACCATCGATTGGTTAGCTGTGCATAACTATAAGAATTCGACGAAAGTTTGTCTGGTCAGGCACGCTATAGTTATGTCATGTGTTGAGTTATGTTTAGTGACCGCAATTCACTAATCAGATGTGCCTGCATGTGTGCCTGTATGTGTGCAGGAAGTCTTTTTCATGCGACAAACAGGGTTAAAAGTGATCGATGACGAAGTATTCAGACAAAACAACCCCTGCGTCTAAATATTTTTGTGTCAAAAACCGTGACGATGCGTATCATAAATTACCATTACGTATATAATAATTCTAAGTTTTTACGCCTCATTACTGCGATATGATTATGAGAGACACATTAGTTGAGGGTTTCGAAAATTTTTACGATATGGGTGTTGTTTAACACGTGTTTAACGTGCATAAAAATCGCATCACGATGGCGTCTATCATTCGCTTTCATTGTAATGCGGGGACCGCGGCGGGAAATTCACCACGTTAGGCTCAGCAGTCGAGCAACAAAACAACTATACCGCCACAATGGACGAAATTATCATTATGCAATCTTGCCATCGCGCTATAGATCACGTATTCAAATGCATTACCAATGAACCCGCGTTGCAACTCTCGTTCGTATCTTTGCCATTGCAATTCTTCATCACGTTCGAAAGTGTATTGTTTCTCTTGGTTGCTACCCAAATGTGAGATAAGAAACCAGAAATTTACTTTCTTGCTAACCCTTCGGCATATCCAACGTATATATGTCTCTCACTTTTTCTTACCGAGAGCAGAGGTGTCTCGTATCTATCCTGCTGGCCTTGCACTCTAAGTGCTGCAGCCACACATCTCGGAGACCTTTGAACTTTTTTAATAGTATCTACACGAACGGTCACTTCGAATCGCATACGTAAACAAGGTAATATATAACCTACTCTCTACTGGAAGAACGCAACACGACCACTTGCACTATAATAGCTGGCTATATTTGCACCACCTCCACTACCTCCCCGCGTTTATACACGAGCGTCCCGTCTTTGTCGTCGATAGCGGTACAGACAATGTGCGCAGGCTGATCAATCAGCATTAATCTGTTCCCGGCGGCATCCTTTTATGGCACGCGGAACACCTGTGTGTTCCTTAATTGGTGGTCGACACTATGTTTCAATTCTGCGCTGACAAGAGGACCCGCAGGACAACGTCTGTCCGGAACACTGACTTAGACGTCCAAATGTGCGCGGCTTTCCTTAGACAACTGCTTTCTATACGCGACTGTTATGCGCTAGCGTATGATCTACGAAACAAGCTTCATGAACTGACGGATAGCTTTTCGCAGGGACGTACCTACGATCAAGAGTTCTTTCAGTGGCAGGTCAGTGAAGTTACCTTTCGCTGAGCAGCAGTCGCTGAAACTCTATGTACATTGCAGTCAAGTACAACACAGAATTGTCGTCGAACTGTGTGTGCCACCTCTCCGATACATTCCAGGCTTGAAGACGTACTTTCATGTTATATGTTGTTAGCACTTTCTCAAAACTTCTGGATGAATGCCCGGCTTCCAGTGTACCAAAAATTGAACGTTGAATGAACGACTACTCTATCCTGGCACGCGTTAACATGGAGGAATAACAAGGACCATAGTTAGGTGAGGATAACTTGTCATGGTAGAACAATCTGGCATAACCAGTGGCAGTGAATTTAGGAATTCCTTCATTTACTTGTTTACGCACCCACCCTCCTTATATAATGCTTTCGTGCCCTTAAGAAATGAAGTGAAATAATGGAGCACAACTAATAATTTCCGGACGGATGTCATAGTGCTGTCTTTGTTTTTCAGCGTTATTCAACGTCACGGAAAAATTTTAGTTAACTCTTCCCGCACCTCAGAATAACGTCCTTGTTTTAAGGCTGCTTAGTGCTCGAGTGTAATTTGTCAAGATGTTGAAATGCGGACCTTGTATTGTGATCTAGTAGAATACAGTGTGTGGAGGTCCAGATGGAACTGCTTGTTTTGTAGACTACGTGTAAAATCATTCAAACCGTCTCAAATTGCAATGATCTATGCGTTGTCCATCTGGGACGCTTTTACAATGATTGCACTAAACATGGTCAGTTTGAAACAGTATTGAACCAATTTGAACCAAGTGATGTCCAGTTTGAACCAATATAATTTCCACTGATGTCTAACTGGAACATTGTTAATGTGATTTAATAGTGGTGAGCCTAAGACACGTTTATTGTAGAAATCGCAGAGGTAAAACGAACCAAGTCATTTCAAGCTCCTTGAAGATGTGGCACACACCCACGCTAGAATATTGGCCAAGAATCGGATAGTTTTCATGAAATACTTCGAGCACGAGCAGCCGCAACACTCTCCCTTCTCTTCTTTCGCTTGCGCTCCTGCCTGTGCCATATATCAATGCTACAAATCACTCCCTCCCTAGAAAAGGAGCCATCCTGGCGACCTATGAAACGAGTACGATGGGCGGGTCGTTATGCGACTTCAATCGATCTACATGGGCAGTCTCGCGGCCGTGACGCGACGGCGTTGGTCAGTCGATGGTTGAACCGGCTCAACAGGCTTTTCGACATGTCGAACTGAAACCAATCGGGTCTCATTGAAAGAGCCAACTGGGCTGAATGAATCTAACCGGTCCTCGTTAGACCTCTTATAAACCGCACTTTCAGACTCGGTGTTTACGTGTATCCACTTGAGCGTCTAATGACTGTCAATTGAGCTCAACGCACTTGCTGAAAGATGAACCAATCTAAGAGACTAAGAATAAAAAAGATTAACGGCACACACACAACACAATGGTTGCTGCTCCCCTTTCCCCGTCTTCCTTTGGAATGGTCTATTATTTCAGCTTTACGCACGACACCGATAATAATATTATAATAGTATGTGGGGCTTTACGTCCCAAAACCACTATATGATTGAGCGACGCCGTATAGTGGAGGGCTGCGGAAATTTTAACCATCTTGTGTTATTTAAAGTGCACTGACATCGCACAGTACTTGGGCTTCTACCATTTTGACTTCATCGAAATGCGACCACCGCGACCGGGGTCTAAACAGCGACCCTGTGGACAGCAGCCGAGCTCCCGAGCCACTGATTCACTGAGGCAGTCTTATGTACCACGGATCCGCGCTTTACTGAGACCTTACTGGGTAGAGTATACTTCACTCAATGTACTGGGTCTCCGAAAGAGTTGACTGTTGGGCGAGTTGACACTTTGACGCAAAAACCACAGGGAGAGCGCACCTAAACATGACTTTCGTCGGTTTCTTTTTGTGCGCTCTCAGGATGGTTTCTGTGTACTGCGTCTCATTGCAAAAGTCTGTTTAACTCGGTAACCTTGACAAATGCTGGCTTGTCACGTGATTGACCTGTTGTGTTCTCCCCTACCTACCGCGCAGCGTGCAAGAGACGTCTAGGCCACAGGAGCGAGCTGCGACGGGTGGCGCCAACGATGCCGCGGGGTCCCCGGCCACCGCGGACGACGAAAGCCGACGCGCCGCGCACGGACTCTGGTCTCACGACCTGTTCTCCGTCTTCGCGTCCTTCTTCAGCATCTTCGGACTCTTTAACGTCACCAGGTTCTCTCTGCTGGTGTATATTTATAAAGGTACGCGTGACATTGAAACAGCGGGTCCGTTCTATTCACCTGCACCACATGAACCATTTTCACGAGGGGCTGCACCTTGCCATTCGTTTCAGCGGTGCAGCAATGATGACTTCTGAACCATGCAATCAGTTTAAAAAGGTGCGGGAGAGGTTCAGCTCTTGTTCACGATTTTCCTGTACCTCCTCTACGCTGACGGTGCCGGCTTACTGCAGTCGCGCGTGCAGCTGAGCAGACGACGCGACACTTAAGCGCAGGCGCCGTATTCGCCTCTACTGACGCGGTGCGTTTTGCCGAGATGTTTGCGCCTCATAAACAATCCACATGGGAGGTTTGCCATCGGTCAGCGTTAGTTGGACGGTGTAAATTAAGCGAACAGAGATAAGACCTGTACCCTTCGGCACCTCGTCATTCGTTACGGGCGTCGCGCTGTGCCTTAACCGCTGAACTCGCGCTGCACAATTTCTGAACTTCTCGTGCACAGCCGTGAACCGGTTCCGATTGATGCAGGTGAATAGAGCGGACCCAGCTCACCTATATGTCGCAGCCACACGCTCAAATTATTCTACTAAATCTTTACTGTCGTCAATTTCGCTTTAGGCTTGTTTGTAGAAAGGGTAAATAAAGATGACGGTTTCCTTTTCTGAAATTTCGCGCCGTAATGTTTGCGCATGAGTGTAAGCGTGACGTCACGGATTTCAATGTCTTCTTTCCGTCTTTCGTACTAAAGCTGCACTGGTTCTACAAAATTTTGTGAAACCTGGTGCGCTAAATTTCTTTGCCCTCTCAGAGGACATGCAATGATCTTCATATTTGCTAATTAGGAACTATGATGCAGGCGTTGGTAGGGTTAGTCTGAATCCATGACGTCACAGCTTTTCGACGCGGAAACTTCAACGTTGCTCTAACCCCCGTATCTCCTGTTCGCCCATTTTCTCGCTTATCGTGCGTCGTCTCGCGGCAAGTGATAAGCTTTCGGTAATACGAAAGCATAATTTACTTCTTCGAGAAAAATCGCTTTCTTTTGGTATTTAGTGTCCCTTTAATTGGGTCGGATGTGGAGTGGTTCTAAAGAAGATAGGGAATCGAAGGGATAAGCTGGACGCCGTAACTGTCTCTATCATGGAGGTCAACTCAACAACGCCACGCGGAGGGGTGGATGTGACTTTGTTTTACCAAGTGGCCACTAGCTAGTAAAATATGCGGAGCGTGTCAGTGGGTGATACTGCGAATGGTAGCATCGTCCCTAAGTCGCCCATACATGTCTCCAGCTTGTCTCTCTTAATGACGCGAAAGACGAGCTTAACTTTGCCTTTAGCACGGCTTTAGTGATTCAAACTCGTGTCCGTTCGCAACTGTTTGCTGAATGCACTGAACACTGTTCATGCATACTACTGCGTAGCCTTGGTTCCTGCTATCACACGTGGGAAATCGCCCGTCACAGAGACTCCAAGATTGGTGGCGTCTGTTGAATATTGGAGGCTACAACAGGCAGTAATATGGCGAACGAGGACGACGCCGTTGCTCGTACATTGAATGTAGCTTTTATTTTTCACAAGCTTGGTACGTATTCGCTCTGAGGACTTCTTTCTGTCGCTCTAAAATATCTCATTGCCGGATTCGTTTCAGTTTCAGTTTCAGTTTATTATTCATTTCAAAAAAGTAGTACAGTAATATTAATATACAGACGAGGGTCCCAAAGTTAAAAACTGTAACGGGACTCTCGACGAGGGTCCCAAAGTTAAAAACTGTAACGGGACCCTCGATGCATTATAACAATCAATAAATCAGATCAAGTTAACAAGCAACGAGTGAATGGAAATCAATTATACAATATAGAGTGATAAGTAATTATTATAGGCTAAGTGACACATCAGGCAACAAAAAGCAAGGCAAATAAGGAAAGAAAAAAGAAAGAACGGAGAAAAAAAAAACATCTCGTTCAGTGGCGGACATTGTCAATCGAAATGCAATGATCTAAATGGCATAACCAAAAACGCAAAGCCCCCAAAAAGCCCATATACAGGCAGCTAATTATTTAACAGAAAACTTTTAAGCGACTTTTTGAATGATGACAATGTGGGCATCGTTTTAACAGAAAGAGGCATGTTATTCCAAAAAGTAATGGCCGCAAAGGCAGTGGTCATTTTTCCATAATTTGTGCGCGACGCGGGTAGCAAAAAGTTAAGGTTCATTGCAAATCTGGTTACATTGCTGTTTTGTAAGAAAACTGAATCAATGAACTCAAACGGTACCAGTGCATTGCGCAATTGAAACAGAAGAACGGCTATGCTATAAAAAAATAACTTACGAACAGGTAGGATTTTGTTGTCTTGGAGTAGACGGCCTGCACTGGAGTATCGTGAGCTATTAGTGATAATGCGGATCGCCTGATTTTGTATGTTCAGAATGGGTGATAGATGACAGTCATACGTGTTTCCCCAAGCAGCGATACCATACATGATATGGGAATGAATGAAGGCGAAATACAGAGACATAAGTACGTTTATATGAAAAACTTCACGAGCTTTTATTATAGCCCGAATTCCGAATGCAGTTTTCTTTCTGAGGTGATCAGTGTGGAGATTAAACTTTAAATGGCAGTCAAGATGTGCACCAAGAAAAATTACAGTATCACAGGTGGGTATGGAGTGAGGACCTAGGGTTAAGGGTTGATGAAAAGGCAATGGCCTTTGAGCGGACCTAAATATCATAAACTTGGTTTTGGCTGGGTTAATAATAAGTTGGTTCTCGTAGCACCATTTAGTAATATCTAGAAGTGTGTTATTCAAGTGTAAAGTAAGAGCAGTTAGAGAGTCCTGAGCTGCAGTTACAGTCGTGTCGTCTGCGTATAACACGCAGTGAGTTGATTTAATTGCATCGAGAAGATCATTAATATAAATAATAAATAATAAAGGGCCCAAAATAGACCCCTGGGGCACGCCTTGATTGATTAGCTTAGTTTCAGAAGAAGCGCCTGATACGTACACCGAGCATTCTCTATTGTGCAGTTAATTTTTCAGGAAGGTTAATGGAGCTCCAGTTACCCCATAGGCCTCCAATTTGTTAAACAGGGTGGCATGATTAATGGTGTCAAAGGCCTTGGTGAAATCTAGGAAGACAGATCCAACAAATTTACCAGAGTCAATCGATTTTTTTAAGTAATCTATTAATGAAACTAGTGCTAAGCTTGTCGGACTGCCTGAACGAAAGCCAAATTTACACGGATGAAGTATATTAAATTTGCTTAGGTAATTACTTAAACGATCAACGAACAGTTTTTCAATAACTTTGCTGAGGGAAGAAAGAATTGATATGGGCCAATAATTAGAAACGGTTCTTTTGTCACCGTTTTTGAATACCGGAACTATTTTAGATTTCTTTAAAAGTTTAGGAAATACGCCTTGCTGAAACATTAGATTAATGATATCACTAAGTATCCCAGAAATATTACGCGCAACCAGTTTTAAGTGATACGCAGAAATATTGTCAAGACCTGCGCATTTATTTTTTAGATTCAAGAGAACTGAGCATACTTCGTCAGCGGTTACGGGCAAAAGAAAAAATGAAGAAGCGACCCGAGAAACGGAACATTTTGGTATGCCCGATTGTGTAGTAGGAATGCTAGAAAAAAAATCGCTGAAAGCATTTGCAATAGAAGTTGGCTGTTGCAAAGAAATATTATTATATATTATTTCAGATATAGGTGAGTTTCCAGATGATTCGTTTAAAAAGTTGTTCAAAAGGTTCCATTGTTTTTTAGGGTCCCCCTGATGTTTGATCAACTCATTTTCATAATAACGCTTTTTTGCTTCACACGTGGGAAATCGCCCGTCACAGAGACTCCAAGATTGGTGGCGTCTGTTGAATATTGGAGGCTACAACAGGCAGTAATATGGCGAACGAGGACGACGCCGTTGCTCGTACATTGAATGTACTCAACTTTACAGTTAATTTTTTGCTATATTGTTTTTTTTTCAGCGTGCTTCATGCTACAGTTTATCGTGCTGTCGGCGGTGTTCGGCGTTCCCTTCTTGTACCTGCAGATGTCTCTGGGCCAGTATTTGGGCAGCGGCATCCTCGACATGTGGTACATATCGCCCGCTTTCAAAGGTACGTGCGGCAACCATTTCGTACCACTTTCTTTAGCGTGGCAACGTTGTGCGGAACATGCGCTGGCATTCGCTCTTGGTGTCGACGCGCAGTCAACTCCTGTCACTATACGAGAGGCTGCGTAATCACATAGCGTAAGCGATGCAAGGGTATAACATTGGCTGCACCATTCTTTCACGTTGCCGCAGCGCATGGGCCTTTCAAATGGCGGAAAGGTCGTGAGACACCTATGATCTCTGAGGCTACATGTTTTAGCCATACCAGTTGTACCAGCCCCTACCAAGACCCTACAGAAGCGGCATAGCGTAGCACAAGAAAGTGTAAAAGTTGGATTGTGAGTTGGGTTTTCTTTCGGTCTATAGGCACTAATGGCAGAATGGTGGGAATACAGGGGCTTGATTTCTAGCTCGGACGTTTTCACAACTGATCACATCTTCTTGATGCTTTCAAGGGGACCGGTCAAAACTCTGGCTGAGGATAAACAAGGCGTCATCCAGCGGAATGTAGTAGGGCTTTCAAGAGGTCAATCATTAGATAGCTCAGTAACGCTCTGATGGTAGCTTTCATATGTATCGCGTATAGCAGCAACCCAACAGCTTTACCCTGTGATCTGGACTTGCCAGCGTTTCCACTAACGATGCGTATTTAAACAGATTTATCAGCGCAAAAAAAAAAAGGCGGACCTTTTGGAGAAGAAACACACACACAGTGCTGATAAAAGTTCCGTCTTTTTTTTTTTGCGCTGATAAATCTGTCTAAATAATCATGAACCAACCCCCCACGCAGCAGTTGTTAATAACGATGCGTAAGTTGGCCGATCGTTAGTCGTCTCATCATTGCGATGAGTGCGTGAATCGTGACTGCTTGCCGCTCGTTACGACAAGACAATTGTTGTTTTGGAGCGGAGGCAAGGGAAGCAGCAAAATTTGAGAAACTTGCCATTCCTTCAAAAAAGGCGTACTTTTTACGATTGTGTGTGTATTGCTTGTACAGATGCACTCTTTGCTCTCTCCGAAAAGAAATATTTTATTTGTAGGCGAGATGTTAGTGTTGCTTTTTGTACTACCTCTGTTACTTCTTGTCTGTGCCATGTTAGACTAAATGAAGGCTGTTCTGATGCACTTATGTGTGCCGCTTAACGATGCGTTTCAGTTGTTAGTAGTGCCGCTGTCCATCCATTTCTCTAGTTCGTTCTGTGGTGCCACGATGCCCAAATATCAAGACATAATCGCCGCTAAGACTGTACACCTTCCTCTCTCTCCTTCACCGTAGGGGTGGGCCTGGCCCTGATGATGGTCTACATGGTGTGCGGCGTTTACCTGGCCGTGCCTGTGTCGTGGATCTTCTTCTACTTCCGCGACTCCTTCATCAAAGCGAGGGACGCCTATCGGTGGTCCATCTGCCAGGCACGGTTCGCTTCCGCAGGTGAGTTGAAAGAGCTTCGGATGTCATAATTATCTTATATTTGCTGGCATATCTTCTTCTTGAACGGAGTGGAGGCAAATAGTCGGTTATAGCGTCTTTCTTCTAATCGGGTCATGTTGCATTTATGATAGACTGGTATTTTTTTTCTGATATTTCTTCATTCAAACCTCTATTTATAAATCGCACTATTAGCTAGATATCTAAGAACACCGGTTTTATTGACCTCGTCTTTTTTTTTCACCACCGTCTAAACGCGTCCTGAAAGATGAACCAATCTAAGAGACTAAGAATAAAGAAGATAAACGGCACACACACAACACAATGGTTGCTGCTCCACTTTCTCCGTCTCCCTTTGGAATGTCAGTCACCGACTATTCAACACGAAATAGTGTCGATTCGTGCGGAGTCGCATGGTCTTCCGTGGATAGGCAATTACGTCGTAGTGATAGTCATAACGTACTATTGTCTGCGAGCTAAAAAGCCATACCTTATCGAGGGGAGATTGTATGTATAGATTGTGTGGAACCCTGGAAATCTCTAGGGAACAAAAGAACAATGTGGCGCCTGTGACGCCAAGTGAATCCTATTTCAAGGCTCGTACTTAACATTAACGACGTACTAAAAGAGCATTTGTTCTTTCAAAAAAAAAAAAAAAAACGTCTGTCTTCACTTGTGGCTCGACGTGCACGTCCAAGTCAGCGCAATGGCGGGATCGCGTTTGTCACCTGATGTGAGGCTCCTATTTGAGTGCCCTTGTTTATTTATTTATCTTTTTATTTTTAAAATACTGCGGACGAAAAGTCCCAACAGGTTAAGCATCAACCACTAGACTTACACAAAAGAGTAAGAGGAAACAAATCTTTATTAAGCTTCCCGCATAACTTTTTTTTTTTTTTCGTTATAAGGTAGAGTGCTAATAAAAATTAAACAACTACCCTATAAATACAACTCTATAAATACGATGAGCGTCAAAAGGTTGTTGTCATTGTCCTTTGACGCTCATTTTTATTGCACACTTCATGGCTTTATCGCGAGGAATTTTAGACCCCTATACAACCGCTTAACATAACTATCGTTCTCAACTGATAGTCATGCACTGGCGCTCTTTTGCCATCCAATGGCCCTTGTGCCAATAAACATATCCCACATCATTGTCATCAACACAACTGTAATGGGTACACGAAATAAGAATGTTCCCTCAAAGTGTATATACTTACTGATTCAAGCACGTGTCCATTCAAGGTCAGCTACAGCTAAAGCCAAAGTTAAGACTCGGCTAAAATGCAGCTCAGTGTACTGGCAGAAGAACTGTGCCGCTCATAATTGTGATAACTTAACCTATGTAAATGAGTACGAGTCTATAAATGTAAGCTAGTCCTGTATTTTTATAGAGAAGGTTAGGTGATCGGCCTTGATATTGAATTTGCTTTGCCTTCTGCCACAGGCTGCTACAAGAACAATTCGTCATCTCCCGAGTTCTTGGGCTGGACCACTGCCTCCTATTTTCAGTGAGTCAGACTGTATGTGGCTTCACTCATTGTTTAGCATGGCGAAGAACGGCTATTTGGGCTTGTTGGTTAAAGTGCACATTGAATGAGTTTGCAGCGCAAGAACAGAAGTGCTGAAGGAAAAGGTACAACAGCGAGAAACGAAAGGCAACGGGGGACGACATGAGCGCTGTGTTTTTGCCTTCCGCTCCACGCTGCTTCACCCTTTCCTTCAGCACTTCCTCTATTCACGTGCAAACCCATTCAATGTGTGGTTTAGCATGATGGCTGTGCGATTCTCGCGGGAGAGTACGTTTGCGCAGTGACGACAGGGTGCGTTTTTTTTTTTAATGCCTATACTTTGGCGTGACATTTGCTGGATACGATTAAACTACCGCACGTTGCTGTCTGAGCTTCACGCATTCAAGGTGACACTGCGTGCTGTTACAAACAAAAAGATAACTAACAATAGATAACTTGCAAGTACGTCACAACGTGCAAGTGCGCGGGAATCTGGGATATACGATCTCGGCATACGCGCCACCATCAGTGAGCACATGGCAGCAGACGACACCGTGTCAAGCTGTGCGGCTCTCGCCTTTCCGGTCAGCGCCGTGCGTCGCAAAAGCGATTTTCTGAGACTGTCGCACAAGAAGTGAGTGTAAATGACGTGTAAAAGTACCAGAAGCGGGGACGTACTATCCTCTAAGGGTGATCACAAACCCGTGTGACCGCGCGAAAGAGCTGTTCGACCCGCGGAGCACATGGATCATGCGCTCATAAACGGAATTCCAGGAAGGACCTCGGGTCTGAACAACGTGCGCGTTTGCGGTAGTCATTTAATAGGGAGCTTTAGAATAGCGCACCGCGAGCCCTTGCGGTGCGGTCGCTGCCACTGCGCATGCGGCGTAACGCGAGTCGGCGTTCGCGGACCGCACGCAAAAAAATCCGAAATTGCGCGCGGTAATGGCGGCCTGCAAGCGCTGGTTTCGAGGCTACAGTGTCGCTGCGATCGTGCGTTGTGGTTAGCAGCAGGGCAAACGCTATTCTAAAACTTATATGGCGCCCGCAACGCCCGCAGCGCTTGCAAACGGTATTCTAAAGCTCCCTAGTGATAAGCAAGCGTGCGAAGTTTGTTGTGCTCATTACGTGCGACACCATGGAATCGGACACTGCAGGCACGGAGGATTCGCCTTCCTCATTAAACACTGCTTCGCTGCTGGCCGCATAGTGTTGTGAACGATTCTCCCTTTTCGTACGCGCAAGGCAAACGATCGAAACACGCGCGCTGCGCAAACGACCCGCCACGGGGACGTAAACAAGGCGGGGTCGCTCGGCATTAACGGATGGAATAATGTCACTCGGGAGACATCCAATGCAATGGGAAGTGCGTTCATACTATATATGTTCAGCGTGGGCTGAAATTGACGTTCCGGCAGGATATGGCGAAAAAAACGCATCGCAAGTGCCGCTGCTGTAGGTGATGAGGGCAACACGTGGACCAAGATTACGATAAGAATGTCTTCCCTGCATTATCGGCATGGGATAGGTGAATAAGATAGAGCTCTCGGCCTGTAACATGGCTCTGCAACTCATCAGACGTCTGTTCCAGTGAAGCTGAAAAAGAAAAGGAGGGCGAGGGGAGGGGGCGACGTAAGAGTGAATTTGCAATACCACATCCTGCTTTGTAATCGCAGCTTGCCTAGCGCAAAGAACTCTTGTTTTGTCCCAAGTTCCGAATGCACTACACTGTTTTCGACTACATGTCTTTTTTCGCTCGCTTGTTACGCAGTGGCCGGGTGCTGGACCGGAGGGCGGTGCCTCAAGCAAACGGTATCGGGGACCTCAAGTTCGAGCTGGCCTTCAACCTGGGCATCATCTGGCTGCTCGTGTTCATCGCCCTCAGTCGGGGACTCAAGTCCTTCGGCAAGGTACGTCAACGTACGTCGTGGAGAACGCGTTGCCGGAATCGATCGCGCACATAAAATGATGATGATGATGACAACTGGGTTAGTTGCGTGGTTAGGAGAGTCATAGAAATGGCTCATGGGAGATCGAGCTGACCGCGAGGGTTGATAGGGGATGTAGAAACGCCCCGCCGCGGTGGTCTAGTTGCTAAGGTACTCGGCTGCTGACCCGCAGGTCGCGGGATTGAATCCCAGCTGCAGCGGCTGCATTTACAATGGAGGCGGAAATGTTGTAGGCCCGTGTTCTCAGATTTGGGTGCTCGTTAAAGAACCGCAGGTGGTCGAAATTTCCGGAGCCCTCCACTACGGCGTCTCTCATAACCATATGGTGGTTTTGGGACGTTAAACCCCACATACCAATCAGGGGATGTAGAACAAGTGAAGGAACTTTTGATTGTGCGGATATCCGCGTATTGTTGACGCGACGCTTGAGCAACGACATTGCACTGTGAAAGTGCGCACTGTAATTTTGTCTAAATGCTACAGGTTTGTATGCGGAATTTTTTTTTCTAAGAAAAAAAAAAAACCTACTTCAGAAGGAGTAAAGGGCGCAAGTTTTTGATTTAAAGTGGTGCACGGGCAGGCAAATCGTCATTTTGCGCTATGTATGCACGGAGAAAAAAAAATTCGGGGTGGTTAGGGGCACGGGCCTGGAGTGCCATTTTTTTTTTTTTGGTTACGCTTCTTAGAGACAATATCGGTTACACCCCAGAATATTTTTAACATTGTGCAAACGTTCAACAGAGGACATGGCTGCACTAAATATTGGCATGGTATCACCTAATGACGCGAAGAGAGCGCCTGAAGTATTACGTAGCGATAGAAATTTTCTTGAGAAGGCTTAAGTATTGCATAAATTGTATTTCTTCACAAATGCTCCATTGACGCCGCGGATATGAATAAAGATGTGTGGCTGCTTTATGCGAAGCAATCTGTCTAATGCTCATTTTTTTTACTTTGTTTTGATTTGCTTTAGCTGCAACCTACATAGCAATGCAATTTTTGTTGCCCGCCTTCCTCGCGCATATGTGGGTGAACCTTTAGTGAACCGAGTTGACGAATTCGCACAATTTTACGTGTTGGACTTTGTCAGAATGGCCACCATTTCCTCAATTTCTTTTTGATTTGGTTTGTCCTTGTGTGTGTAATTTGCCCCGCCGCGGTGGTCTAGTGGCTAAGGTACTCGGCTGCTGACCCGCAGGTCGCGGGTTCAAATCCCGGCTGCGGCGGCTGCATTTCCGATGGAGGCGGAAATGTCGTAGGCCCGTGTACTCAGATTTGGGTGCACGTTAAAGAACCCCAGGTGGTCAAAATTTCCGCAGCCCTCCACTACGGCGTCTCTCATAATCATATGTTGGTTTTGGGACGTTAAACCCCACAAATCAATCAATCAAATTGTGTGTGTAATTTGCTCAGATCCTGGCCATCCTTGGCATTCTGTCCCTGTGCCTGCTGGTGTTCATCACTATCCGCATGACCGAACAATGGGGTGGCGGCATTGCGGATCTCTTCAAGGCCGACTGGAAGGGCGTCCTGTCAGACACAAACGTAAGCGGTCATATGTATTCACTGGGCAAGTTTGCCACGCTTTTGTCTTAAGAACGCCCTGGCTTATAGATAGGTATTTAAGTGTTCTTTCTTAAGATGCACACTTCAGAAGGGCTTTTTGGGCTACACCGACGAAGGTGACGTTCATTCCGACTTTGTCGGCATTCTGTTGGTGAGCTACTGTGCAAGGTTCCGGGTTCGATATCCGATCGCGGCTGTGGCAGCGTACCAATGTGGTTAGTACGTAGGAACGCTCGTACCCTCAGATTTAAGAATGAATGAAGAAAGGATGAAAGAAGAAAAAGGCACGAAAGTAAACCAGGCGCGCGTCTGGTTTGCTATCCTGCGGCGGGGAAAATGGGTTAAGGGATTAAAAGATACATACAAAGATGGGAGCATACAAAAACAATGCTGTGTTTTATAATACTGAACGCAGGATCTCAAGCGCGTCACGTTGCCCTATAGGTAGATTTAAGAGCGCGTTAAAGTACTAAAAGTGACGTAAAGCTGTTTTCTTGAGTCAGCAGTCTTTACTTTTTTTTTTTTTTTTGCCCTAGGCTACCTCTTCTTGCATGGAAAGCTGACTACGACAACTACTACTTCTTCTATAGGGAGCTGGGCTGCACGGAAATCCCTGCCGCAGCATCTAAAAAAAAAAGCAGCGAAAATCGATCAACTTCGAAGTTGCTTTCAAACGTTCAACGTCCTCCTTTGCAGTACGATTTATAACAGTTACAACGTTTAAGAATAATGTTCCAAGAGAGACAGAAAACCTGAAAGCTGCGCATTTTCAAAAGCGCACCGCTTATTTCACTGGCGTAAATTGTCGTATGCAACAGCAAAAAGTGAGCATCATAGCTGCGTATAGTCGACTTGAGTGGCATGCACCCCGACATTTCGCGCTGTCAGCCCCACAGTAAATAGCCAAGAAGAACGACGCCAACCTCCGTATTTAAGAACGCTCCACTCAACGCTTCACCTTCACTTGAGAAAGCCGATGGGAGCGCCGTCTGTAGGCACAGAAAGTCACTGCACATCAGCGATGATCTGGTGCGATTCTTGAGTAGCGCAGTAGTGGCGCAGTGCTCAACTCTGTCAAGTGAAGGATGAAAGTCGACTCGAGTAGCGTTTGTGAATATGGGGGTAAGTCGCGGTGCAAAATGGAAAGCGCATACTGCACACCAAAGTGGGTTTCTCGCTATTGCCTACACAAAGCTCCGGCGTCTAGAAGCGTTCGCGCTCGGAGAAAACGGCGACAGGCGCTCGGGAACCCCCTCAGGGAGACATCATTAGCCGAATCGCTCCGCTGTAGAACAGCCATAGAGGAACACGCGCTGACGAAGCCCAGCACGAAAAAAAAAAAAAAAAAACAACGGCAAGGAAGCGAGATTGGGAGTCGGGCAACTGCCGCCGAGCCATAGAGCACGGCAGCCTTGAACTCTCGCGCGAATCGCTTTGACTTCCAGCGCACTGTGTGCAGCGCCGCCGAACAGCCGCTCATTTCCTTCATTCCGTCCTACCCTCGCGTCCTCTATCGTCGCGCGGGCAACTTAACTGTTGCGAGTCCCGGTCGCACGGGCTGTCGGGATCCCGATTGCGTCGAAAGGTCCCCGCTTTTGCAACGCGTTGCGTCCCGGCGTGTAAGCGCTTTCTTCCAATGCGCTCGGCAGATCGCGTTTCCCGGATTGCGTGTACAGACATATAGAGGCATACCGGCACGCGCTTGGTTTCTGGAATTCAGTTGCGGCCACCGTTCCGTGCAGAGCTCTGCATTGCATCGACGACCTGTATAGCTACATTGATACGCGCTTGTATATTGCATCTTTTTTCCGGAAGTTTGGAAAAAAAGACCCCGAAAGCCAGTATTGCGGATGTCGTACAATGCACGCGGCCGTCGCTACTGAACCGAATCGGCGTGAAAACGCCGTATTGCCGATGGCCGTGTCGTGCAACCGCGCCGGAATTCCCCGCTTATTCGCCGTGGCGGATGGGAAAGGGTGTTGCGCCGCTGAGCGTGCGATCCCGGACGCGATTGACAGCAGTCGCGCGGCCGCATTCCAACGGCTGACGTGAATTCGAGGGCGCTATATGGCGCAGTTAGATTACGGGTGCACGCGGCAAGTAACCCCGGGTGGCTCAGCATTGATCCGGTTGCCGTTCGTATAGCCGGGCTGCATATGTCGGTTCGGAACGTTCGATGACGTCTGTTATATTGATTTCCTGTATCACGATTACCTCGCGCACTGCGTTCATTCGATCACTAGTCTCGGTTTCTTTCGAAGAGTGAGGGAATGCATGAATGAACGAATGAATGAATGAATTATCGTTTTTGAGCGTGATATATCGTCAATTTGAATGCCAGTTGCCCAGCCTGTACACCACGTGTGAGCGTAGGTCAGAAGAACGGTCGCGTATGGTGAGGTTTTATTCTACATTGAGGAAACGATAATGTTTACGTATGAAGTTAACGTTGACTTTGACCTTCACTACAATATGGCCGTAAAGAGTGGACAGACATGCAAATAGACAAAAAAATAATGCACTGCAAGCAGAACATGCGTTCTGTATGTCAAAATCTTTGAAAACACTTGTAGACCAAGCAAAAAAAAAAAAAAATTAGCGCTATTGGAGACACTTGCGTCTGTAGCATATGTGTAGCCATTAAAAAAAATCATATTGTCGACTGCACCAAGAATGATCTGCGAGAATTAAATGAATGTATTAGGTAATTTGTTATTGGCTAGTGATTCAGCCGTGGTAAAATGTTACGAGAAACACCTGAGCAGGTTGCATTGTTTTTTTCTTTTCTTCTAGTCATGGGTGGTTGCAGCCCGTGAAGTCTTCATCACGTGGGGGCTGTTCGGAGCCCTGGCGCTCCACGTGAACAGTCGCAACAAGTTTTCGAGCAATGTTACAAGGCAAGAATTTGTGTGCATTTCCTTTCGGTGTGTGGAGCATCCGTGTTATGCACGCGGCACGCGACGATTCGTAGATGCTCTGGAAGCCATTTGTATCGTGTGTTTGTCTCTCTATTGAAGACTAATTAATGCTTATCTGCATACATCTGCATCGGAAATATAAACCCGCTTGTTGCGTTTGCAATAGGTTGTGCAATAAGCAATTCTCTCATCGTTACATTAGTTTCTGCGTTTGTTGTTAGTTTCGACTAACCCGATTGCAAATCAAAAAGCATTATATCTTGCTCCTAATTAAAAAAAAGTAAAAATAGTACAAAGCTAATAATGTCGGTTCTGTTTAGTGCTTAATTGCACAGATTTTAGTATTTTACACTACTACTCACTAGTCAGCCATGTTAATGATTTACACGACGAATAACTATTAACCTATAATTACATTGATATAACTGTCCTTCATAAAGCAAGCACAAAAATATGCCAACGTGAGGCGTTTTAGTAGCAACCGCAGTTGCCTTATTTAGTTGTAGACTTACGACTTACATAATTACCAAGCCATAGATATCGACGCTTGTTTTTTGTGAGTTAGAAATACACTTTACGCACTAATCGAACTTTCTTCTTTAGCGTGTCACGGGTGGTGTGGATTCTCTCTGCACACGATGTACCGCAACGACGAAATCAAGTCGTAACTTGGATTCACATCGTTTTTTTTTTCTTTTCAGGAACATGATCTGCGTGTCGGTGCTCGTGTGCACTGTTCTCGTGCTGGTCGCAATGCTGTTCGCCAGCGTGGCGCATCTCTTGCGCATGCACGGCATGATTCTAGTCAGCTCGTCGTTCGGTGAGCTACTTGTTTTTTTCTCTACTTATCGCGTATAGTGCTTGCGCACATTGCTGACATGCGCGTGAAGCGTTGATGCCTATATCTCGATGTTTCACGACCTGTTAAGTGAAAAAGCTGGTCAGTTAAAAAAAAACAATTGGTGGAAACTGCATAGCGCAAAATATTCACATAGAGTGCGTAGCAATGTTTGCGAGTTAGTTTTAGGGCTTTTAGAGTTGTCATATTCGACAGAGGATTTTGAACTGCTGATTTTGAACTGTTTGCGTACACTTGCTAGACGCGAAAATTCCGAGCACGTGGTTCGCATTGTCTTGCGGCATACTGCTTCCTGGATCGGTCCTCTTGGCTTTCACAACGTCAGCAGGGTGTACGCTCTTATTATACGGGATTCCAATCTCAATGATAATGAATGAAGGAACGAACGAAAAAGCGAACGAATGAGGGAGTGATCGAACGAGCGAGCGAGAGAGAAAGAACGAACGAGAGAGACAAAGAACGAACGAATGAACGAGGGATAGAGAAAGCAAAAAAAAAACGAACCAACGAATGAAAGAAAGAAAGAACGATAGAGAGAGAGCGAGAAAGAACGGATGAACGAATGAGAGAGAGAGAAAGAACGAACGAAAGAGAGAGAACTAAAGAACATAAGAATAAAAAGAGAGGGAAATTTTCCTCTTTTCCTTACATGTTGAGTAGGGGCTTTGCCACAATATAAGTGTAACTGCGGTAAAACCAGCTTTCGGGAGCTTGCGCCTTATTATTATTATGCGCACGTATGAGTGCTTCTCACCGGTAAATTTTCGTAAATTAGTGAGAATTCACATTTAGAACTACACCAACATGCGGTATAACGTAGGTCACTGATGCGAACAGCATTACAATAATGCGAGCCTGAGTGCTTCAGCACCTCTTATTCGCACTCAGTCTTGAGAACTACATACCTGATTTACGCTAAACCAAGTATAGTCTCTAAATATTGAATAATTGCAACAAATACTGCCGGGTTCCATTAAATGAACATGAATGCAGGAAGAGGAGGAGGAAGATTGGGGCAAGTGATACGTTTGTAGTCACCCAGTGAACCGCTCAAGCGTAAAAGTCCCGTGCGAGCTTACGTGGATGCTCCCGCTCTGGGATGAGGGGTGAATCGTAGAAAAAGATTAGCAATGCATAAATTCCCCGATGCGAAAACCGAATAACTGCCACTTACCTCATTGACGCATGCAGTGTTTTACTGGACGTTAGTGAATCCGTGCCGGTAGTGGAAAATTATTGCTGAAACATGCACCACCTGTGTCTGTATTTAAAATTTAAATTATGACCACACTAATTAACGTCTTCGTAGACTATGATTTCCGAGCTCAGTCTTTGACTCGCTGAGTAGCTTTGCCCCGACAAGCTATGTGTCACAACGGGGATTATCTCTGTTCTCCTCCCATCAGAGGAAGAGTCTACGGTGAGGTTCCTGCAGTCAGTGAACGGATCGTGGCCTCCGCTGGACCAGTCGGTGCCGGTCAATCTGCTGGCCGGCGTGCTGCTGCAGGGCCCGCGCAAGCACAACCTGCTCAGCGGCTACCAGGTGGCACGCTTCGCCGTCGAGGTGTTTCCGGCCGCACTGTCCGCCGAGGGAGGCCGGAGCATCTCGCCCTTTTGGCCCATCTGCTTCTTCGTCATGCTTGCCTCGCTGGGCCTCGGACACCAGGTGCGCAGCAGAGGTTATTTGGCTCTGAATCGCTAGGTATTTGCACTTCCACCAATCTACTAGCTACATGCCTCTCACAAAAGATGTCAGAGTTTGCCATGACTTCAAACACATTGCATGTGTATCAGGGCTGCCACCATTGCTACTGTAATTTGAAGCCAGCACTGACTGTCTACTTGAAAACGAAAACGTATGGAATGAAATGTTCACAGCAGGATAAAGCATGCGTCTTCTACATGGACACTTCGGGATTGTCACTTGGCCCATTGTAATGGAAGGCTAGAATATTTCATCGAGCAAAATTCTCATAGAAAGCATTCAACCTGGTGGCTCTTGGTTTCAAAGTGCGTCAAAGTATTAACAGGTCAGTAGCTGGCATACGCAAGAGGGTCAGGGAGACTCGCGGACAAAAATAAAATAAAACTGGAGTTGAAGACTCGCATGGCAAAGAGTATTTAAAATGAAAAATTGGAAACATTAAATTAAAGACTTTCTCAGATTCAAAAACTGCATTTCGATTTCAACGTCAACACAATGTTTTCTCGGCATTCGTAAGACATTTGCGATCAAACTCAAGGCTGTAGACAACTCTGAAACGCTTAACACGTGCTGCTTTCTTGTCCATCGCAGATATGCATCTGGAACTGCATCGTAGATGCTGTGGTTTACACCCGACCAAAGTTTTTCACAAAATGGCGGACAATAGTCACCTTCATTACCTGCACAGTCGGGTTTCTTCTGGGGCTCTTTTTCGCCACCGATGTAAGTACCGAACAATAAACTGACACTAACGTAAAAAAATATTTTGAGCTTAAAATGGGCTCAATAGGCTGAAATTTAATTGCACTCGTACAGTACATGAAAGTTCTAACAACTGTGGTTTGTGAGCAGTGTCCCTTGAGACTGAAACAAGTTAATCTATTGAATAGTTTTCATGTGTTGTTCAAATATTTCACTTTTCTGATTACTATGGAACGAAATTATGTTCAAATTCTATTCCTATTATTCCTAATCATGTTAGAATTAAAAACAGCATGTGAAACCAGGCACAAATAAGCACATTCATCGCATGTTATATAACTAATAGAGAGTTCTGAATAAAATTGTCATCGATATAACCTACCTCGTTATCTTTGTTTCACATTTCTCTGGTGATCTTATTCACGATTATGGGCCAAATTACACTCAAACCTCATTAGAACAAAGTTGCATGTTACATGGAACAAAGTTTGTTATATCCGAAAATTTGTTGTAAAAGTTTGTTGCTAACACTATATCTATTGCAAGACTATTTCTCATTTACTTCATCATAACGAGTATTTTGTTATATCTGGATTTGTTATATTGAGGTCTCAGAGTTGTTGCCAATTGACAAAACTAAAAATGCACTCGTTTGCAGGCAACTTTGCATCTTATGCTTTTCTTGGACGTGTGGCTGGGATCGCTTTGGTGGATTGTCGCTCTCTATTTCATCATGCTCATAGTCGTGCTATTTATACAAGGTAAGCAGCATTATCAAAACGTGATGTTCTGTGTGCCTACACTGCATCTACTGTGCTATCAACGCCCCCTAAATTTTTCTTTATTTTTCAGGTAAGCCTTTTGGGACTGACAAGCTAGTCAAAATGATAGTGCAAAAAGAAAGGTCCAAGTCTCTCTACCTGCCACTGCTGACTTTCCACTGGAATGTCCTTCTACCAATAGCATTTTTGGTAAGCTAACTCTCAATTTCTTGGCCATGATACACTTTCTTTATCGTGCTCATTTTCTGTTACCATTTCTCATTTTATAAACACTAACAAAGGCCAGTCAGAGACGGGGGAAATTCGTGACAAAGATTTTCAAATAATGCCGAATGTCTTGGTCACCAGAAAGTCTTTCTTTCTGACCTGAAGATATCACCATCATAGACATTTATAGAAAGGGGGGAGGATCCAACCCATCATCATCTCCAAACTTTTTTCATTTTGCACCTCTTTGTACATATAGTACATACACAAGCACCCATATAAAAATTCAGGCCTCACTCTTTCCCAGAAAAAAATACAGGTTACACCCCTGATCACAACAGTAAAAATTTGGGGCAGATGACTGTGACAATGTGGTATTACTACATTCACTACAGGTTTATCAGAACTTTATTTGTATATTTACACCACTTATGATGTTAATAGAGTCACCAAGAAAACTTTGCTCATTACAACTCCTACAACCATCAACCAGATTTATTTTACTCTGTTGATGTCAGGAAAAATTACTGCAACTCGATCGATTGACAAAGGCTCGAATGCCTGGGTGCAAAGCTGCGGTAACATACTAAACATAAGCCGTGAAAATGCAGCAGGATGTATTTGGTATTATGCACCAAAACTAGAAAAGTTATTTCGTTAGAGGTACCGCCATGATGGAGCAGTAGTTATGGTCCTCGGCTGTTGACCCGAAAGCCGAGGGTTCGATTCGGGCCACGACGGCCACATTTCGATGGACGGAAAGTGGTTGAGGCCCGTGTGCTGTGCAATGTAAGTGCACGTTAAAGAACATCAGGTGGTGGACATTTCCGGAGCCTTCCACTATGGCGTCTCTCATTATCACGTCGACGTTTTGGGGCGCGAACCCCCAGATAATATTATTAATATAATAGTATTATTATTATCAAAGGAGCAATACTTACAGCTATATACACTTTTTACGAAGTCAGAATGAAAATCGGAAAATGCTAAATGGGGCGCTTAATTCTCTGTATGACAGACTTTCATTAAAGTGTGTATAGAATTTATATAACACTGTGAATTCCCTAGCATAATGCAAAAGGTCAAAAGTTTAGTTTGTCTCGTATGTGTGAATTACGCTAACCAGCGCATGTTATGGTGTTTTCAGATGCTATCTATCGCGTTCATGCGATCTGGCCACTTGGCCATGTTCTCACCGGAGTCGCTGTCGTTATTCTACCACTACTGGTCACCTTGGGTTGGCTCTTTCTGCGTGCTCCTGCAAACGCTGCCACTTCTGGGTGTCGCCTTAGTGGCCGTCATCGAAGGGCTCAAGATTGTCGTCTTCAGCAAAAACCAGGTTCAAATGCACGAGGTGAGCCCCTGGCACAGCGCTTTTAATGTGCGAGCATTATTTGGCCTGATACTTCATGAAAGGTATGCGTAAAGGTATGACAGCAAAAGAAAAGAAACAGTTGGGGCAGAAAGTGTGCCATTACAATTGGCGCAAAATTTGCATCCTGGCATGCCACATATATACATATACACTCAAACTTCGATATACCGAATCCAAATATAGTGAAATATCAGTTATAACGAAGTAAATGAAGAATACCCTTGCAATAGAGAATGTGAGGAATAACCTTTTATAATGAATTTTCGGATATAACGAACTTCTTTTCATGTATGATGCAACTTCTTATAAAAAGGTTTGGGTGTATTCTGGGTTTATTTTTTTACACTGTTGTAGGCATGCACTGGTTAAAGGGGCCATGCTACACTCTTTCAGCATAATCACCAAAGTCTGCCAATCGGTAGTCGAAGCTCCCGAGAACACGTGAGCCAAGCACAACGCAGTTCACAGCCTCTAATTCACAATTCGCAGTCCCCCGCCGCAGTAGTCTAGTAGCTAAAGTGCTCGGCTGCTGACTCGCAGGTCGCGGGATCGAATCCCGGCTGCGGCGGCTGCATTTCCGATGAAGGCGGAAATGTTGTAGGTCCGTGTGCTCAGATTTTGATGCACGTTAAAGAACCCCTGGTGGTCGAAATTTCAGTAGTCCTCCACTACGGCATCTCTCATAATCATATGGTGGTCTTGGAACGTTAAACTCCACATATCAATCAATCAATCACAATTCGCAGTTGACATACATCGTCTCTCTATAAATGAGGCCGATATACCCAAAGTACTGCGTCGAATACCCAGTTCCATGGTGGTTGGCTGATTGAGTATTGTGAACTGCGTAGTCACCGTGGCCACCGGGAGATGCAGCCACGTGCCCGCGCATGTTTGCAACCTCACCGAAAGTAAGCCGCGTGTCCAGGAAAAATTAAAAAAAGAGATCTAAGTCCTGACGTGCACTGACAAAGGGATCCTCAAATACTTGCCCCCTTGACATCCCCCTCCCTGTGTAGTTTTCAGTGTGCTTGCTAGTACGAGAGGAAAGAGAAAGAGCTTGAATCCCTGTAATCCGCTCGTATTTGACGGGTTATAAGTTTTTTTGCATTATTTGATTCATGAAGCATCATGCACTAATAGTCAAGCTATTTCATTATATCTCAGAAAAAATTTGTACGGCCCTTTTAATGTTCAATATTGTTTGCTCAATTATAGATATTGTGGTCGAATGATAGACGATATCGGCTAGTGCAGGCTAATGCCAGTTAAAGATGGCTAAGTGATGGCTAGAATTAGCTGCTGTAGGCTCTCAATGGGTAATGTTAACTGTGTTGCCACGTGTTTGCTATATGATGGAATTATGGTACTGCCTACACACACTCTAATAATTTATCAGTAGGGAGTTTCTGCTCCAATTTTTATATGAAATCACAATCTGTAGATGGTTAGAAAAAGTATAATCTTCTTGTGATTAATTATAATCACTAAATGTTTCTTTTACTGACTGTTTTATTAAACATAGCCTTGTAAAAAGTTTTACTTGCATTTGATGCAGCGTATCGAGTCCTGGTGCTGCCCAACATTCATCACAATAGCTCCAGCAACAGAGGCACCACCTGCAGCCCCAGAGCCTTCCCAGGGAGTCTCCAACGTAGCATTCGAAGAAGACGTGCCCCCGAAATACTCGCCACCTCCTTCTTACTCAACTGCCACGGCACGTATGATCCTCAAGGAGTTGCACAAGTGCCAACAACAGCCTACAACAACAAGCACTGGTCGCGGCTCACTGTTGAATTGCGACAAGATTCGGCTGAGTTTCTCAGATCTGCGATTTAACTTGACATCTCGAAGCCCACCGCGGGAAGACTCCTCGGATGCGTGAAAAAAAGATGGCAACGTTTGAGCTCTTCACCTATATGTGTTGCGGCTCGTTAGCAAGGAAAAAAGAAGAGGTGCGTAAAAATAAGTGGTTCGAAATTGCACACGGAGCAATAATTGCCCGGGCGTTGTCCAGTGCTACTTGCGCCACCTCGAACAGGGTGCGACTGAACGTTTACGATAGGTTGATTCAGCACATGTGCATAGCACTGTAAGCACATGGCGCAAAGTGGCCAGTACTGTGACTGCACGGCTTCGCTTGACCGCTGCCCTGGTCCAGTATATTGATCTCTTCAAGGCGACTTATGCCTGAAAGCGCTTGGGGACATTAGAGGCAGGCGATTTTTGTACTAGACAATGCAGGGTCCAATGCAGTGACAAGCAGTCAAGGCCCTCTGGTTATAGCTTTATTAACTCTGAGACGAGACTCGGATGAAGAGAACGTGACAACAGGAGAAAGAGTAGGGAATGGTGGTTCCACATCACCCGTCCTTACATGATTCTTTCTAAAGAATCCTCGCGAGTACATAAACTCTTCTTGAGTTAGAATAGGTAAGGATATCGGAACACCATTTTGTAGATTCTATGGCACCTTTGGTGGTGTTTGTTTTGTGTGGTTTGCTTATTTCCAGTGCTCTACAATCTTGTAAAATGCTGAATGATTCTTGGGCTGTGACTCGAAATGTGCGGCTGAGCCATCTTTTCTTTCTCTTTATTTTCACCTTGCAAGGAATTATTCATGACGGGGCATTCTGAGTAAGCACATCACATGCCATTGAGGCAGATTGTTAAACAATGAAGAGGTGGAGCAGCCATTTGAATTGGAAAGAAAACAAATACCTAGTGTAACATTCATTACGAATTGACGTAGAAAACACTGCATAAGCAGCACACAAAGGCATGCGCACAATTTCGGGCGAAAAGCGTGGTGCAAAGTCTGCCCCATACATTGACTTCATAGTGGAGGGGTGCTACAGTAAGCCTTTGCTTCTCCTGCAAGGAAGCCTTGCACATGCCTATGGCCCACAGTGATAATTCAGCATCATAATTTGCATTCATTGTGCTGAAGTAAAGCCTATTTACACCCATGTTGTATGTACACTGGAATGAACACGTGGTATGGTGGACCATAAAAAAAGAACCTCGGGACACATCAATTATTCACTTCTATTAAAAAATAGCAAAGGTAGGGAAACCGCCATCATCATCATAATGTCCCCAGCAGTCGTGAAATCATGTTACTACTCGACTGGTATAAACACTGTTAATAATGTCAGTCATTTAGGGTTTATTTTGTAGCTTACTACAAATGATCTACATGATTCAAGGACCAACTTATATCAGCAGCACTACTTAGGAATAGGGGATGAAATTTGAGTAAATTTAACGTCAAGGATTCTGTAGTTTGTCTCTGATTTATTCCTTCATCCCTAATTGTTCGTTAGTGGCTGTTGTTAAGGATAATGAATGTGGAGCGCTGCTAAGACTACTGATTAAGCATGATAAAAGAGTGCTGGAGTAGAATAGCTAAATAAACCTGTCCTTTCGTATTGTGCTGGAACACTTTTAATGGACCCGAAAGCTGGAATGCTATGCACAGTCTGATCGTTGTTGCTCTGATCATGCAGATACCCTCTGAGGAATGGCAGATAGCTTTGCTTTGAAGAATATTGTGTATTACTTCAAATAATATGCATGGCTGGGAAGAATTGCCACTAATGGAGCGTTACCCTTGTACCAATCATTTTAGCTACGGTTGAAAACAATGATCTTTCAAGTGTACTCAGGGGCTGTGTTCTGAGAATTCCTTATAAATTTATATTCTATCGAAATATACATTGCAAGATTATTCTTCACTTGCTTTGTTATGACCTATATTTCATTATATCAGGGTTCGTTATATTGAGATTTGAGCCTATCGCATGGAAAAGCTCTAGACACATACAGGACAGTTCAGTTCATCTTTGTCAAATTATGTAGGTGAATTGGTAGGGCTGAATTCCAGCAATTGAGACAAGCAATGCAGAGCTTCGAGCATGTCGGCTCGTTTTCCACTGATTCAACTGCATGCATCTTTTCTCGGTGTGCTCTTGCTTCAAAAATAGCTTGACACGTAGGCGCCCATTGCACCCAGAAAAAGAAAGGCTAACTGTACCATATATAAAGCACACATTTGTGATAATGCACTGCTTTGACAGTGGTTGACCACGTGGATATTTTTCCACCTCCTTTTACGTACAATCAACTTGGCACCATTCTCAACGTGGAACCCAGAGCACTTCTTTCAAACACTTTTGTACACTTCGTGGCAGTAAAGAAAGCTCTTCATTGCTAATTGTTTCCAATGACGCAGTTGTTTTGCACATAAATTCTGCATATAATACAGAAGGACGCTTTTGAGACAAACTCAGCTACACTTCTATGTAAGCTGGACAGTTTATAAGAGAACCTCATCCCTATCCACGCAAATCCTCTTTTCAGCACTGAGATTTTCCGAGTGCCCCAGTTGTTTCTCTACGGGCACTTCTCATGTAAATGGAGTGAATTAGACAACATGTACACATGCTTGCTTGTTGGTTGTTTGGCTCATTTTTGCCATTGATTCATTGTATACAGCTTATAATTTCCCTTTAATGGCTAGGTAGCCCCAGTGCTTGAAAGCGTACGTGTGGATGTGTTTACCTGTATACAACAGCCTTACGCCTTGCCTACAGAGATGGATGTGATATTCGAAGTTTTGCGAACAGGACCAGCGTTAGTAGTGTGCAGTGAAGGGCCCACCGCACTTGAGGACCAGATGTACTTTTGCAAGCTCCTGCCTAAGTGCAGATGTTTAAGACCTTGCGTAGCACAGCAACCTTCCACCCTTTCAGTGTACTTCATAATAAATAGAATTAGCTCACAGAACGTTGAGTGAAACCTGTTCCAACATCGCATGCGACTTGTATGTGGGACAAAAGTGCCGGTGATGACATATCTGTTCATTCTGACAGTTCTACTTCTGAAGCTTTGTCTGCTGTGGGCAAAATCGTTTAGCTTCTGTACAACTTTGAAGGCATCATTGCGCTGCTTCTCTTGTCATCAATAATTGTTTAAGAGTTGTGGGCTGAAGTGTTATAATATACAGAATCCTCTGCATTTAATGTGAGCACCTCTTTACTATTCAAGGCCTCACAAAAGCAGATGTTTTATGCAAAATTGGGAAAATTATTACTGTGCCTATTCACTCCCTGATTACATGTCATAAAACAAACATTTTTCTTGTGAAGTAAGTGAGACATTCCAGTTTTACTGGCTGGAATACTGAGCAGGTGTTCACGTTAAATATGGTTGACTCTGTACATAAACTGGTTAATTGGTTCAACTCGTTCTGGCACACCTGGCTGGGCACCTTCAATATGAAACCAAACTACGGCACAACAGCTCTTGCAAAACAAGAAAACAAAACTACAATGTAATATTATTCAATGTCTGTACCGCAATGTTCAGAAATGAGTACAAAGCGAAAGTGCTGCGCTCGGCTTTTCTACTGCCACATATACCACTGCTTCGCCTTCAATTCAAGCACCAATTTTTACATGCACAGTTCAGGGTTGTTCCAAACGAACCTTTGCATGCACAAGTTCTATGCACACGAGACCACTTTTGCGAGCACCTGATGCTTCTCCCAACCCGGATGTCCCTTCGCTTCTATGCCATGGGTGTGGCATCTAAGCAGCTGTCGATATTTATCCAACTTCAATGCTTTTTCTCTCAGGGCAGAATGTGCTGAACAAATTTAGGTTTCTTTGCACAAGTTTGTGTGAAGAAAGAGCAGCTTGTTTGTATAATGTTGCTCTAAATGTGTGTATAAAAAACATTAGGTGTTTTCTTTATGCTGCCTGATTTTAGGCAGTGTTGTGGTTGCTTTTGTTGAGTTTGAGTGATATTTAGCGTGTTGAAAAAAAATTGTGCATATTTCTGGTGCTTCGCATAATGCCAGAAGCAGCCTGAAGCTTTCATTTTCGAGTGTGTGATTGTAAATAAGTGTACATACACCGAAGAAAAATACTTTAATGCAATGAAGTGGGGGAAGTGTGCTCGATGCTGCACTTGATCTAGAACTTGCATTGACAATGTCGCTGCAAAACGAAGGAAAAGAACAAAGTGCAGTTTGCTGTGAACAAGGTTATTTTATTCATGGTGTAGTAGCACATGCATTGACTTATTTTCCAATCGTGCGATGCAAGCATTGCAAGCTTAGCTGTTGGAGTCTATGTGACTGCTTTGTTGGTTGTGAAGTGAATGCCGCATCCATGATTTCTTTGTGTGTAAATAAAGGCATACAAATTTTAAATATTAGCCATGGGTGAGAACAATCATTGCAATGTAATGTGCGTGAAGCTAATAAAATGCAATGCAGTGTGAAATACTGTGTTGTGAAAACTTAAAGTTTGTGTACGCTTTTACATTTCTATATTTTTTTGCAGACAATGACTTACTATGATGTGATAAACCATAACTAATGATCGATGTATAAGAGTCCTTAAGGCACATTTTAGTATGTATAAACATATTTACATAACCCACAATTTAAATTACATGCCCTGGCAAGTTCTGAACATTGAGTTTTTTCAATTTTCTTCCAAGGTAGCAACACACAGACATAACACTGTACTTGGTGGCACTTAAGAGGCAATGTTGCTGATTACAAATTCACAAGCACATTCAGACTGTGAAGCAAGCAAATAGTGCATAAATGTAATAGTGTTGATGCAACAATTTTATTCAATAAACTATAACAGAAAATGAAAGACAATATAATTCAGTAAACGCCAATATTTGTGCATCTGTTTGCGCATTTATTCTATATGAACGCGAGTAAAGTTGAACCTATTGTAGTGTAGTGTTTTGGTCGCTACTTGGTCGCCACCGCTGAGAGAGATCGACACGTACACACAACAGATCCATAGACTTTCTCCTAAACTGATTTATTTGCCTAAAACACTTCTGATTGGCATTGTACACACTTGTACGCTACATAACTGGGACAACTCTGCGCAGCGCATGCTGCAACCTGCTCGTGGCGTCAACTGTGCGACACCACCCCGGTTCCCCTGGCAACATCCCGAGAGCCCGAAGACCAAACCAGAAAGGACCACACAAACGTCTCCGTTGACGACTCAAATTGGGGGGAACGATTTTGAGTGGTCAACGGAGATGTTTGTGTGGTCCTTCGTGTGGAACGTTTGTGTGGACACGTATGTCCTCCGTGTCCTCCTTGTCTCTGCGACGACGCAGAGACAAGAAGGACGCAGAGGACACGAGCGCTCGTGTCCTCCGTGTCCTTCTTGTCTCTGCGTCGTCGTTCTGTTCTCGCGCTATTACTATCGTCATGTCATACCGACTAGTCCGTGCTGCCACACGCCTCCACCGAGTTTCTCCTGGAGGACTGCTGTCAACCTAAATAATAATAATAAGCAAACACACGCAGCAAACTACCACGACGTCCGTTTAGGCTTCCACAGTGCAGCTACCCCGCAGACTGCCCGGCATTGCGGAAAGCCGTTGGCGACCCCTCTGCACGAGAAACAACCCCTCGTAGGGAGGAAGGCAATGCACGCACAAGAGAGCCGGTGCAACCACCACAACCCTGCTCTCGGGCGACACCGCGACATTGGAACGAGCCAAAAGTTAAAAGAAAATAGCTACATTAGCGTGTACGGGACACTATATATGTATGGGACCAGGGTATATTTATTGCTGATATCTATAAGCCAATCGTGACGAGCCCTTAGGAAATTTCATAAAATAGCACCGCACTGTCGGCTGATCACACGTGTATATAGACGATTTCCCCTCCACTTTCCATGTAATCCTGTCACGCACAGCGCTTATGCGAGCAGGGGAAATATTCCTGCTGCAGTGAACGCTTGAGTGATCTTCACGAGACCCTTACATTAGTTGTTTTTTTTTTCATTTTTTTATTGATATCATAAATAAGGAGATGTTGTCGCACACCTATGGCGCCGGCTACTTATTAGCCCTTGAGTGAAAGTTGAAAACATAGATGTCTTAAAAGAAAACATACAAAGCAGTGCATGAAAAATAGAACACTCGAGCACACATACGCAAAAACACACTTATATGCGCATATCACAACGCAATGATAAGGAAATGTTCGAAAGTCAACAAATGAAGTCTCTGATTATGTTCCGTGTTAACATTCGATCCAACCAGCGCAACATGGGGCTCATTTTGGTCTCCTCGGCGGTGTTGTCTGCACTGTCATGTTGCAACGCCCCCGACGGGTGGGAGATTCGGTTCACACGTGGGAGCGGCGCGCATCGGCTATAAGCTAAAGCGCGAAATTTAGTCACATTGATGTTAAAAATAAGACCGGTTCCCTGGGTCACGTTCGGTCAACTGAAATTGCTCACTGAGAAGTTGGTCCAACCACAATGTTTTTGATAGCATATATAGCAAAACCGCCGGAGATTTTCTAGAAGTTCGTTATTCTGAAACGTTCGTTCAACCAACGTGTGTACAAGTGAGAGTACATTGTATAGCCAGTTTTACGAACATTCTTCGTTTTAATCTCCGGGCGAAGAGCCATTGGACTCAATGCTAACGAGTTTCCATTTGACGAATCAGTGGAGTGCACTACAGTTGTGCGAACATATTTTGTGGCACTCTATAGAATGCCTGTCGATCCCTTCATATTAATCATAACTTGCGTGAAAGACTGTGTACAGACAGCGCCTTGTCACGTGCCCGGTCTTTCATTTATTCATTCATTTATTCGTAATACCTCAAAGGTCCCACATGGGACATTACAAGATGGGTGGGCGAACGAAAAAACTGGCGGGTCAGGTTAGGTTTTATGACTTGAAAGATGGTCTTCAATGGCAGCTTTAAATTGAGCAATGTCGGTGATGAGGGCGATATCGGATGGAAGGGCATTCCATATTCTCCGGCAGTATGCAGGAAAAATGAACGTTGGTAGGTGGCCGTATGTGCACGTGGTATATACACAGCATTTTGGTGCGAGTGGCGAGAGGAACGATGTGCCGGAATGATTATTTGGTTTCCTGGAGGCAGCGAATAGAAAACCTTAAAAAATAATGTTAGACGAGCAGTCTTGCGGCGAGAAGAATGTGAGGGGAGGCAGAGCTGGGATTTTAGGGTGGATACACTTGACCTGTAAGAATAATTGGAAAGAATGAACCTGACAGCGCGGTTCTGGACTGATTCGAGGGAATTGTTTATATTAATTTGGTGATTGTCATAAATAGCAGATGCATATTGTAGTTTGGATCAAATCTACGTTTTGTATGCAAGTAGTTTGACTGCAGGGGATGCTTATGATAGGTTACGGCGTAGATAACCTAATAGGCGATTGCAGGAATTAGTTAGAGAATATGGTGGTCCCAGGACAGATCACTAGATAAATGTACTCCTAGGTATTTAAATGTCTTGCATTGGGTTAATGTGTTGTTGTTGAGAGAGTAAAAAGGAGCTACATAGTTACGGCGACGATGAAAGGACAAGTGGGAGCACTTACTGACGTTGAGGGACATGTATCATTGGTTGCACCAGGCCTGGATTTTAAGGAGGTCATACTGGAGAGAGGAAGAGTCTATGGAATTTGTTATTGGAGGATATACAGAACACAGTCATCTGCAAAAAGGCATATATTAGATTATACATTAACAGGAAGGTAATTAATATATATGAGAAAGAGTAGCGGTCCAAGTACGGAGCCTTGCGGCCCACCAGATAAAACAGGAGATAGAAACGAGGAAAATGAGTTGGTGGAAACAAATTGAAGGCGATCGGTCAAGAATTCACGTATCCAATTAACTGTGTCGGGGTGTAGGTTTAGGTGCGAAACTTTATGTATGAGAAGAACGTGCGATACTTTATCGAAGGCTTTTTCGAAGTCCAAAAAAAGAGTGTCGATGGCGATGTTCAGATCCAGGTTAGAATGTACATCATGCAGGAATAATGCGAGCTGAGTATTGCAAACGGCTGAGTAGTATTGCAAACGGCAATACGAGCTGAGTATTGCTTTCGTTTCCAAACGGCCCGATTGACGCACGTACCCAGAACAGAAGCAGGCTATAGCAGTTAAGAAGGTGACGCGCATGAGGCCCGATCGCCCTACCGCGGTGGTCTAGTGGCTAATGTACTCGGCTGTGACCCGCAGTTCGCGGGATCAAATCCCGGCTGCGGCGGCAGCATTTCCGATGGAGGCGAAAATGTCGTAGGCCCGTGTGCTCAGATTTGGGTGCACGTTAAAGAACCCCAGGTGGTCGAAATTTCCGGAGCCCTCCACTACGGCGTCTCTCAAAATCATATGGTGATTTTGGGATGTTAAACCCCGCATATCAATCAATCAATCAATCAATAAATCAATCAATCAACGAGGCCCGATCGCGATTTGCTCTTGAAGGCTAAGTTCAAGCGTTTTTACGTACTGATTTCTTGTCCTTTTGATATCAGAAAAGTTATTCATATCTGATGACGTTGGAGCCGCTGGTGTTCCAGTATATAGTTCCAAAGCATATGGCAGTCCAAGCGTGTTTTACAGCTCCAAAAACTTATTTTCGCACTGTATTTACGCATCTAAATGAGTGTAATTAAAAGGATGGCGCAGTTGCTTAAGCATGCGTAAGGGTCCATGGCTGATCATGCCATAAATGTAGAAGAACTACACGTGTACAACCAGCCTATCAAGCAGGCCTCGCGCACATTCAAATAAATATAAAAAGAAAAAAGCTTTTGGATGCAAGAACTCTTGTACGGGTTTTCAGTTTTGAGTACATCGCGTATAGCGTCTTAATCTCGTCATTTCTATTCGTTCTATATGTTGGGCTGATCAATTTTTGTGAACCTCACTTCGGAGATGACCCATATTGCTGAACGCGGTTTTAAATTAGTGCTGACAAAAATTTTGCGCCGCTTTTTTAGGGGGGGGGGGGCAATATGTTGCTTAAGACCTGCTTATCACGACTACAAACCTCGTTTAGGGCGAGTGCGCGAATGGTTATTTATTTAGAGACGTTATTATCGCGCCACGTCACAGTTTCTGCTTCGAAGAGCATCGAGCTAGGCAGGAGCAGTTCCGGTGACAATGTAAACACAGCTGGCCACGTGACCACGCAAAATTGTGACGTGGACGCCGCGCACGAGCGGGCCCCGCACCGACCAGCCAACACAAACTTGTGACGCAGGTTTGTTAACGGGAACATGGCACTGATGTCGGTGTTACGAGATGCTACGCCTCTCGCTCAGTCACACGGCATACGCTTTAAAATTGAGTTTAAAAAATTCTACGCTATATTCGTCCCAGATATTTCGATGTTGTGTATGTCTCCACATATATCTATCTCACTCATTAGCACGCCTTCGAAATTTTGTGTCAGTGCTTCTCTAATCCATCATTGCAA